AAGGGGCAGGTGGCTCCATCCCGGTAGAGGTGGGCCTGGGTTCCCGACGGCCCCCGATTGTTACTTTGAGGCGGAGCGACAGGGCAGGTTGAGACCACCTAGGAGAGAGGTGGGCCTGGCCCTGGTCGGCATTCGCGGATACTTAACACGCTTAACGAGATCTTGATATTTGATCTGAGTCTGGCTACTGGCCTATACGCACTAACCATCTACGCGGGGACAGTTATGGGCACTCGACGTCGTGGTATCAGCCAAAGCCTTCGTGACGGCAGCGACTGAGTGGCGCGCGCCGGATTGGACCGTAAGCCTGCTCTTGTATTAAGGGGGCTAGTTCTGCTTCCGGCCGCGTTCGCAACGTGCAGGTGTGCAAAGGGCGATGGGCCCAGACCCCTGCGCCATAGGATTTAGACCGGCGTGCTGACCTCTCTGTTGTGCCTAGGTAGGGCTGCGACGTGTTGATCTTCCGAGGCCGGGCATGACCCAGAAAAGTGTGTCCGGCCAAATGGGATCGAGTGTGTTGGGTTATGTGGTGCACCCTTGCAGGGAAGTTAAACTATTCGAATAGCCGTGATCTTCGGTAACAGGACGACTTGGAGTTGTACCTTGACCTTATGACAACTAGAACCGGATACTTAATAAAACACACCCTTTCAAGTGCCAGATACAACCGGTGATCGTTCTCTCACAGGGCGACGAGGGGAGGATCATCGGTTAGGATTATGTTATGCGATGCTACTTGGAGGACTTCAGTCTACTCTCTTCTACATGTTGCATGATGGAGGTGGCCAGAAGCGTAGTCTTCGACAGGATTAGCTATCCCCCTCTTATTCTGGCTTTCTGCAGTTCAGTCCACCGATATGGCCCTTTACACATTTACCCATGCATATGTAGTGTAGCTCCTTGCTTGCGAGTACTTTGGATGAGTACTCACGGTTGCTTTCTCCCTCTTTTCCCCCTATCCCTTCTACCTGGTTGTCGCAACCAGATGTTGGAGCCCAGGATCCAGACGCCACCGTCGACGACGACTCCTACTACACCGGAGGTGCCTACTACTACGTGCTGCCCGCTGATGACGACCAGGAGTAGTTAGGAGGATCCCAGGCAGGAGGCCTGCGCCTCTTTCGATCCGTATCCCAGTTTGTGCTAGCCATCTTATGGCAACTTGTTTAACTTATGTCTGTACTCAGATATTGTTGCTTCCGCTGACTCGTCTATGATCGAGCACTTGTATTCGAGCCCTCGAGGCCCCTGGCTTGTATTATGATGCTTGTATGACTTATTTATGTTTAGAGTTGTGTTGTGATATCTTCCCGTGAGTCCCTGATCTTGATCGTACACATTTGCGTGCATGATTAGTGTACGATTAAATCGGGGGCGTCATAGCGTCCCCGGCCGCACACTCGAGGGCGTGCTGACGTACCTCGAGGGCGGCAACGACCCGCCGTTGGCGTACCCGGCGAGGGTGGCCGCCCCGGCACAGCACCGACGCGCCGGGCCATGGGCGCCAAGGAGGTTCGGGTCCTCCTCCTCTTCTTCCTCCTTGCGATCTTCATCGCACTCCTCCGGTACTCCGGCCCTGCTCGGCGTCAAGGTCGGGCCCGCGGCAGAGACGCCGCTTGGCCGGCGCACTCGTAGCGCCGGCATCGCCATCAACGAGGGCGGTCGGCGCGCCTCCTCATCGGCTCCTCCTCCGCGCTTCGTCAAGCCAAAGACGGAGCCGGGGTTCGCGCCGGTGAAGACGGAGCCGGGGCTCGCACCGGTGAAGGAGCCAGTCGCGCCGACGACGAAGCTCGACGACGACGACGCAGCCCTGGAATGGGCGCGCAGAGACTCCATAGCGATGGAGAAGGAGCGCCTGGAGAAGGCGAAGGAGCGCCAGTGCGCCGCCCTGCGCCGCTTCGCGGAGCGCCGACGCGGCCGCAACGAAGGCGGAGTCGTCGTCATCTACGACAGCAACGACGACGACGCGCCGCCACCAGTCTGCCAAGGCGACGCCGGGGAGGGGTCCAGCAGGGGCGCCCGCGTCAAAGGAGGAGAAGGCCGACGACGACGATTGCAGCGACGGCGGCGACTTCAGCCAGTTTTTTTTAGATTAGTTTATATATGTGCTATGCAATGAAAATCCGCGAACTTCGCCGAACTGTGCCGAAATTTATCGTGTTTGGCCGAAATTTATCGTGTTTATAGCCGAACTTCGCCGAACTGTGCTATACTTCTTTTATTTTAAAACGCGCCTGGGGGCGGCCCTGGGGCCGGCAGCTGGGGACCAACTCGCCCCCAGGCCCAATTTTTGCGCCGGCTCACCCCCAGGCGGCGATTTTAGGCGCCCCCTAGGGCCCAACAGCTGGAGATGCTCTTAGAATAGCGTTACCATATATATATATATATATATATATATATATATATATATAACGGGACTTGTGTTTCTGCCCATCCATCATGCATTTTTTACAGAAAAACCCCTTATGTTTCAAAGAATCAACCCACAGTCCTATTTTAAGTGGCAAAACGAATTGTTTTTCTGATTTTACCAAAAAAACCTACACTTTCAGGTAATTAACCCACAGTATACTTTTAAGTGACAAAACGAATCATTTTTGCTTTTTTTACAAAACCACCATGTCTTTTATGGTAATTAACCTGCAGTCCACCTAGAACAATTTTTTTTAATTATGCACATCTTTTAAACCATAATTCCAATTTTAACATGATATATATGAAATTTGGTTAGAAAAATGTGTAGAATCCGAATATGATGTTATTTTACCTCTTAACCATTTTTAAAATGCTATTTAGAGTGCAACTTTAATCAATAGCGCACGATCCGTCTTTCTTTCGTACCAGCACCAATCTGGATTACAAGTGAACACCTAGACAAACAAAATTGGAGACGAAAGAAACCTAGCAAGAGAGAGAAAAACTAATCTTATGCCAAGAGTGAGATGGCTTAGGATTACCACATTCAAACGCGTTGTAATTCTGTAAGCACTATGATCATCGTATGCGAGAATGGGACGACGGACAAACGGCAACACAGATGGGATGTCATGTTGAAATAAAGAACATGGACCTATTGGGGTCTTGACTCATGCTTATTGGGTTACGGCCTTGCGGGCATGTGGTATCTTTTTCTCCCGTTGCAACGCACAGGCTCTTTTGCTAGTAATATATTAATTTCGAAAACATGAGTCTCAACAAGATACATTGATCAGGCACCACAATTTTGGTGAAACAATTGCTTATAACCGCAACACAAGTGTACAACTGGAAAATGACACAGGTAGATTGGAAATAAAGGACACATGCTCAAAGCTAATCAGAAATTAAACACATAAATATAATTATTTTACCATGTGGTTATTAACAAACTAATGATGCAGAATTTTTTAATAACATATTTTTATAATGCTTGTAAGTTATCTAATTTTATGTTTCTACTTCCTACAAGCTTCCATCCATAGTAAAGTTAATCCAAAACTTCTTTGTGAATTCGTTTCAAAGTCGCTAGCCCCTGCAGGCACGCGGGTTGGCAACTAGTATTCTAATCCAACAGAAGGGTCCAGTGCACAAAAGCATTTTATTAACCATACATTATTGCGACTATTCCTTGTTCATGTCTCAGTTTTAACTTCAACAAGATGATGTTGGTGTGAAAAGAACATAGATAAGCTAATGTGACATGGTTGGGGAAGTAAATAGTGTGTTACACACCTTTTACATTGGATTTTCAGGAAGTGTAGGTGAGCATGTTTGATGTTTTACCACAAGGTGGTGCACTAAGGGGAAACTGGGTATGTATGTATGTGCATTGTACTCATATCACATACAAAGCATGTTTCCGCAATGCAACAATGGACAAAGAGTGAACTTCTTACATTTGAACCGAAGAAGTAGAGACCCATCATATTGCCGAAGAGGTGACCTGAGTCATAGTGGCTGAAGGCATTAGTGAGCAATGTGTGCAACCGCCCGCTCTTGAGATTGTCCAGCGAAATCTGCTCATCGCAACATTCATCAAATTACACTTCAACAACCACTTGTGAAATCAAAGCAAGGTCCCTTTGATTGATCACTAACCGAGAAATGATCCCTCATGAAATCCGGACTGGCCATGTGCCAGAGCATGTAGACGGCCACATTCGCGCCCATAAGCATCAACACCATCCCGTCCGCTGATGGTAGCCAGCGCCCCCTTTAGGAGACACGAAAACCAAAATGACCAAACAACCCAAAACTCCATGTAATTAAGACGTACCACCAGCCAAAACCTCACCAGGGTACGCGGCGGAGGAATGTGGAGGACGAAGAGAGCAAGTCCGAGGACCGCCTCCGCTGCAGCGAGAAGAGCTCAAGCGACCCGGCGGCGCGCGCGGTCAGCCACCGCTTGGCGGCGGCCCGGGCGGCCGCCGCAACGGCCGCCGCGCTCACCGGCAGGAGCGTCCCGGCGCTTCCTGGGCTGCGCCAGAGGGAGTGGGACAGCGGCGAGCGGCAGGCGGCTGCTGGCGTGGAGGGGCAGTGGAGGAGGCGGCTGTGGGGGTTGGCTAGGGGTCTGGGTTTGGGGATGGCGCTGCGGACGGCTTGCTGCGCGAGGAGGGCCTGGAACTGCGGCAGCCTCCTCCGCATCGCCATTTCTGCTTCCACCAAGGCACGGGTTGGCTGCCTGTCTCCGCCGCCGACTCCCCGACCTCGGGCGGTAGCCGCCGGTACGGTTTTGATTCCCTTCCGATCTCCGACTATGGGGGGAGGTGGGGGTCCACCGGCAGTCTATATCACTGACTGGAACAAATGGGCCGTGCGACTATTGGGCCATGTTTTCCGGAGCCCAAGTGCGAGTTTAATCTCGCTCCAGGCTTGGGCCGACGCCCATTAGACGTAGTTGTTGGATCCCACACGATTATACAGGTAGCCACAGGGATACGCCCGCAGCCGCCGCAGCGAGGTTTTAGGGGTAAGCGGAGAGGGACTCCCGGCGGCGGCGCGAAGCGGAGAGAGGGAGAGAGATGTCGAAGCGAGCTGGTCCCCCGAAGCACCAGAACACCTACGCATGGAAGCCCAACCTCGGCCGGAAGATCAACGAGACCGTAAGCCGGCGACCCGCCTCCCTTCCCAGTCTTCTCTTTTCCGTTCTTGTGGGACCTAACCGCCGCAATCATCGCCGCTGCTCGCGCAGGAGCCCGGGGGCAGGTTCCGGCCTCTGTCGGAGATCACCGGCGTCTGCCAGCGCTGCCGGGACCAAATCGACTGGAAGCGCAAGTATGGGGTTCTCCCCCCTTAGTTATATTCATTCATTATTAGGTCGTTGGTTTACTTGTGTTCCTCGGTCCGATCTGTTCGTCTCTTCTTTTGCAGATACGGCAAGTACAAGCCGATTGTTGAGCCTGCAAAATGGTAGCTTTCTTGCCGGACTGGTCACCGCATAGTATTTGGGAACGGTTGTAAGAGGGGATAGCAATGGATGCTTATGGTTTCCTTTTTGTTTTTGCAGCCAGAAGTGCAGTAAACGAAACGTCCGGCAGGCATACCACAACGTCTGCACAGGTGAATTTCGGCTCCTCGGCGGTGTCTCTTGTTACAGTGGTGCTAGTGTGCCGTTTGATTGTCACTGATATGTGTGATCTCTGCTCAATGCAGGTTGCTCCAAGGAGCTTGGGATTTGTGCCAAGTGCTGCACCTCTGTTAAGCATCTTGTTGGAAGGTGATCCCCGCTATTTCATTTTATTGTTACACTAGCACTGGTGTAGCTACACTGTAACTGGAATTTGAACCTTGTTTTATTTTATTTTATGTGTTGTAATGATTCAGTGTTGTCTTGTAGGGATGCTGAGGAAGCAAACAGTGAGCGCAAAGAACTAGAGGAGGTTTGATTCTTCTATATTGGAAGAGGATTGTTGTGAACCTTGAGAAATCCATTTGTTTTGTGCTGACCAGTGAATTGTTTAATAGGCCATCAGATATGCTAGGGAGAGGGAACGACGGACACTTCTTCGCCTTGTGAGTACTTGCTACTTAATTCTTCTTGCTGGATAAATTTAATTTCAATGCACTTACGCTTCTGTGTATGCTCTCCTTGTTGCTGGTTCTAAACTGGCCTAAGAAGCCCATAAGCCTGAAATATGAATAAAGGACCCCCTCTATTCTTCTGGAAATTTGAACTACAGGAAAACTTGAGGGGTATAAAACAGACTTTCCTTAATCCGCCTCGCGAACTAAATAGAAGGATCCATCCCTCAATTTTGAGCCTAGCACAAAAGGATAATCATTCTAAATTTTCCTTTTCCATGCAAATGAATGAGAGTCCTAGTACTAACCCTGTAATCTTTAGCTTGGATGAGCGTGCTTAACATAACTAGTTCTTTCTTGTTGTCTTTAAAAGAAGAATGGCTTCATTTGTTGCACCTGTTAAACTAAACTCTAAATATATTGCACTTAAATTTGCATTTCCTATATTGTAGTTTGTCGTTATATCATTACTCATATAGTTATATGGGGTTCAGTTATATAAATTGTATACATGATGAAATTCTGTTCACATAAATTTAGCAGAAACCCTATTGCACAGAAATCAAAACAGACTGGTTTGCTCATAGTTATAATAAATTCACCCGTCATATGAGCAAAACCTCAAGTATTCGGTATTCCTCATATGCCCTTGATCTTCCCTTCTATATCTTTTTGGGATGCATCGTGATATTGGTCAGGTGACATTAGTGGCATTCTTAGATTAGGAATAGGTGCCTGGTCGTGGTATTTATGTTTCAACTAAATGAAAATGCACACCTTGTTTTCTGGTTCACAATGTTATGTACATGATTTTGTTGATTTCCAAGATATAGCATGAGAACTTGAAATGAAGCGTGTGATATTCCAGTTTTTTGGACTATTCAAGTTCCAACTCTTCGCATAGATATCTTCATATTTAATCTGTCGGGCTTGTAAAACTTTATATTAATAAATAGCTGCAGTTGCTGTGCAAATGGAAATAGTTAGGCTCTTTTACATTTGTAAGAACTTGTGACATGAGCTTGGCCTCATGGAAAAATCATTCTTACTGCAGACATCTCTATTCAAACTCCAGCAAAATTCACAAGTAGCTTTCTTAAGGGCCATTCTGACACATTCATGTGTTTCTGTTCGGTCAACAACCGATGACATCCCAATCCCACATTTTTCTTATGCCTATTTTTGTAGAAATTTGCATCATTAAGGTTTATAAGCACATAACTAGAGTTCTTTACTGTGCAATTCATTATTACCAAACATGGAAATATAAGGAACTGGTGGAAGTTCGAAGTTCCAGCAGTGTCTTAAAACAATTTGACCGGAAATTATCTGTTAGAAGATGGTCCTGGAGGAATAAGCATTCCTGCAATAAGAGGAAAAAAACTTAAGATGCTCATAGCTGACAATAACGACTATGTTACTACTGTAAGTAATTTGCAGTTTTAAACCTCACGAAATCCTCTGTGATGCATATATGTGTGCTATTAAATTCAATCTTCAGTATTCCTGTTGTCTTGGTTTTGCACAGTTCTAAATCCACCTTTTTGTGTAAAGTGACTGCACAAATGACCATATTGATTTTTCTTGATTGTACGTCAACATTGTTCTAAATCCACCTTTTTGTTCCTGGGGTCCATTTTGGTAAGGTTCCATTCGCTGAAGTAGTAGGAGGATCCATACTACTAACTTTATAGAAAAAATGAACAACTTTTGTGCATTCTAGCATTAGTTGTACGTCTATCTGCTGTTGAAAATGGAACAGAGTGCCTGTATGGATAACTGTGGATTCTTGAAAATATACAGGAAAACACTATTTGGTCTCTTC